CCATAATAAAGATTTCACTAAATTTGTATTAAAAGCACTTCACAATGTCTTTTGTACCTGTTTCATTTCACATAGTATCTTTCTTTTCTTATGTTAAATAGCAAGTGGTTCAAATATAAGCCTGCTGAGGCTAAAATTGCATGCAAGTTTTTCACTAAAAAATGAAAAATCTTTGTATCAGACCATACTGTCTGCAAAAAAAGTTGAATGCAAGAGTCCTTTTATGCTCAGATTTATTGTATCATGTAACCTGAGTATAGAAATTATAAAAAAGACACAAATTTTTATTTCCTATAGCTTCAGTATGCATTTTTAAATGTAAATATGTGCTACGGCCTAAATTGACCCTAAATTATTTTCAGTCTTACTTGGCTTAAGACCCTTTTATACTAATATGGTATGCTATTTGTAATTTTTCTTTCCATTTAAAGTACATTTAATACATATGTAAGGATTATTTATAACCAAAAAACTCCACAAATTTAAAATTGCTGGAAAATAATACATCTTCATGTAAGGCCCCCCTTCATTGGAAAACCTCCATTTTTTGGCACAGGCTCATATAAATTTGACTTTTAAATAATTTTGATAAGTCTGATAAATCAAATGAGTATTCTATTGCTTTAAATACATAATATGTCATATATTAAGGCCTTTAAAATGTAATTTTTTGCAATATTTTAATTTTTATAGCCCCAAATGTTGATAGTTGAAATTTTTCAATTTAAACGTCAAAATTTAACATGCGAAGTTGAATATAGAATTTATCATATTGTCTATAATATATATCCTATTGCCATGAAACTTTGTCAGCAGTCTCATAATTTATTAAGCTTTAGTCATACCAAGTTTTATTAAGATTGGCCAAAGTTTTCTATCCTATTAGGTCCGAGTACACAGTTATCGTCCTTTGATTTTCGTTGTCCACGAATAAAGTCCCTAGTGTGGACAGTGTGTTGCTTGCCAATTTTTTTAGTACCCCTTCCAAATGTATTCCTTCATGTTTTATGCCTCAAATAGCAAGTAGGGGGATGAAATTACACTGTAAAAAAATTTGGGTCATGAATTGTAAAGTAAAGTAGTGATTTGGTCCAGCTGAAAAAGGTTAAAAATTAGCACTTCGGAAGCTGTCAAAAGATTTCAAGACCCCCTTAACATAGAATTGTCCATATTTTGAGTTAGAGCCGATGAAGTTTTCTATAATTTTGATATAATTTGTCCCAAAAGTAGTACAACACACTGTAAAAATATTATTGAGAAAGCGCAGGTGGGATTTTTTTTATTTTCATTTATTGTCTAAAAGAAATGCACTACGAAATAACTGTGTACTCGGACCATGACAAAAAGAGGATTTAGTTTAAATTTTCATTGTATCATTAGAATGGAGATAAATGAGTTGGCAACCATCAGTAATTCGAGTGGATTTTGTATATTAAAAAAACAAACCTTTTACCTCTAGTTATTTTTCATGAACCTCAAAATCATAGATATATATTTGTATGCTATGTGATTAAAGTTAAGGGGCTTATCATTTCATGAAAAGTATACTTATATAGACTTTGTACTTGTATAGACTTTTCATTGCAATACCTACAGATTTAAAGTAGATTTTTGGTTCATTAGTATTTAATGGAGACTTACAGATTAAGTTTTAATTTCGTTACATTTGACTAGCTTTTGGTGGAATAATGGTCTATTGACTTAAAAAATTTCATAAAAACTGTACATGTCCAGACTATTTTGAATACTTGCAGATGTATGATTGATTTTTGAAATATTAGTGTATAATGAAGATTAAAGATCAAGTTTGCATTATGTTCTAGTTGACCAACCTTTTGCGAAAAAGCTGATAGCCGGGGCATTCATGTCACTACCAACACCTCTAGTCCAAATATTTTATATTTTATAGTCACCCCTAGTTAGGATCATTCCTCCAGTCCAATGAGTTGTATCAAAGATATTTCACTGCTATCTTTCTCTGACAAAATATAACACATATCAGTGACACTGGGTCATTTTGATCTACATTTCAGGTTTGAATGATTTATTTAAGCTTTGTATTAAGGTAAACAACCTTCATACTCATGTGGTATATCATTTATATTCCCAGTACAGCCTCTTACATAGTACACCACATTTTTTGAAAATTTAAGTCACAACGAATACATCATATGCTTGAATAACTTTTTTGCCGATCTGCTTAAGATCCATTCAATAGAAATCCAGTATAGTATTTTACAGATATTTCTCTACTCTATGCCTGTAATATACTTTAACTGAGTTTCATTTCATTTAGGTCACTGTAACCTATTTATTATGCATGAGGGACTGTACTTAAGTTAAGTGAACAAAGCAATGACATCTCACAACAATAGTCCTCTCATACAGAACAACACATTTAAAAAAAAAAAAATGACCATGACCTTCATTTGATATTTTCTGTGAATTTAAGTTAATTCTTTTTATGCCCCCGCTGTAGCGGTGGGGTAATTAAGTTTTACCCTTGTCCGTCTGTACGTACGTCCCAAAATTGGTTTCCGTTCTCTAACTTGAGTTTGCCTCAGCCAAATGTTATGAAACTTATACACAATGCTTATTACCACAAAACACAGATCAAGTTTGAATTTTGGTGGCGTCACTTTAACCGTTCTAGAGTTATGCCCTTTATAAATGGAAAAATTGCTAAATTTTTAGTTTCCGTTCTCTAACTTAAGTTTGCCTCAACCAAATGTTATGAAACTTATACACAATGCTTATTGCTACAAAACACGGATCAAGTTTGAATTTTGGTGGCGTCACTCAAACCGTTCTAGAGTTATGCCCCTTTATAAATGGAAAAATTGCAAAATTTTTATTTTCTTCTAAATATCAAGTAATTTCTATACGACGACAAAAAATTTTGGCAGTCGTATATTAGTATGACGTTGTCGTCCGGCGTCAGCGTCGTCGTCGTCGTCCGAAGACACATTGGTTTTCGCACTCTAACTTTAGTTCAAGTGAATGGATCTCTATGAAATTTTACCATAAGGTTCAATACCACAAAAGGAAGGTTGGGATTGATTTTGGGGGTTATGGTACCAACAGTCAAGGAATAAGGGGCCAAAAAGGGGCCCAATATAAGCTTTTTTGTAACTTTCAGACATAACTTGTGTGTTAGTGTATGGATCTCTCTCACATTGTACCACAAGGTTCCATATCACACAGGGAATGCTGGGATTGATTTTGGGGGTAATTGCCTCAAAATATTAGGAATTAGGGGCAAAAAAAGGGGAAAAAAACAAGCATTTTTCTAGTTTCATGACAATAACTTGTGTGTAAGTGTATGGATCTTTCTGAAATTGTACTACAAGGTTCCATATCACAAAGGGAAAGCTGGAATTGAGTTTGGGGGTAATTGCCCAAAATGTTTAGGAATAAGGGGCCAAAAATAATCATTTTTCTAGTTTCCAGACAATAACTTGTGTTCAAGTGTATGGATCGCTCTAAAATTGTACTACAGGGTACCATACCACAAAAGGAAGGCTGGGATTGATTTTGGGGGTAATTGCTTCAAAATTTTAGGAATTAGGGGGCCAAAAAAGGGGCAAAAAACAAACATTTTTCTAGTTTCATGACAATAACTTGTGTGTAAGTGTATGGATCTTTATGAAATTGTACTACAAGGTTCCATATCACAAAGGGAAAGCTGGGTTTGAGTTTGGGGGTAATTGCCCTAGATGTTTAGGAATTTGGGGCCAAAAAGTGGCCAAAAAACAAGCATTTTTCTAGTTTCCAGACAATAACTTGTGTTCAAGTGTATGGATCTCTCTGAAATTTTACTGCAGGTACCATACCACAAAGGGAAGGCTGGGATTGAGTTTAGGGGTGAATCATAAGGGGGTTCAAAAAATTTGGGGGGAGGGGATTTTTTTTTCCTTAAAATTTTCCATTTTAAATTGGTTATTTCTGATTTATATATAAAAGCAAATAATGATGATATGGTTTGAATAGGTAAATTAAAAATGTTTAAGTTCTTAGACCACATTCATTCTGCGTCAGAAACCTGTGCTATGTCAATTATTTAATCACAATCCAAATTCAGTGCTGTATTAAGCTTGAATGTTATGTCCATACTTGCCCCAACTGTTCAGGGTTCGACCTCTGCGATCGTATCAAGCTGCGCCCAGCGGAGCATTTTATTAAAATTGGAGTTATCTTCCTTTGTCCATGATTATAGCTGAATCAACTACAATCAATGCTTTATACAATGCAATGTTTAATTTTGACTTCCACTGATAAAACACAGATCAAGTTGAATTTGGGTATTGTCACTTTAACCATTATTGAGTTATGCCCCTTTATAAATCGAAAGATTGCAAAATTTTTAGTTTTCATTCTATAACTTAAGTTTGCCCCAACCAAACATTATGAAAACTATACACAATATTCATTACCACAAAACTAAGATCAAGTACAAATTTTTTGTTTCCGTTTTCTAACTTTAGTTTGCCTCAACCAAATGTTATGAAACTTATGCACAATGCTTATGACTGCATAATACAGATTAAGTACGAAATTTGGTGGCTACACTTTTACCATTCTTGAGTTATGTCCCTTTATAAACATAAAAATTGCTGAATTTTTCGTTTCTGTTCTCTAACTTTAGTTTGTCTCAACCAAATGTTTTAAAACTTATACACAACCATTCTAGAGTTATGTGTGTTTACAAATAGAAAATTGCTGAATTTTTAGTTTCTGTTCTCTACTTAAGTTAGCCTCAACCAAATGTTATGAGACTTACACACAATGCTTATTACCACAAAACTCAGATCAAGTTCAAATTTGGGTAGTGTCACTTTTACCGTTCTTCAGTTATGTCCCTTTATAACTATATGCTATGCAAGCGGGGGCATCATCTGTGTCCACATGTGGGCACTATCCACATTTATTTTGATATATGATAGCATCATTCATGAAATTGTGGCACACACTTATTCTATATGATTTTCTCATTTGAACAGAATCTCTGATTGAGAGGATAGGACTGAGACATAAGCCTAAAGTGATTGATTTATCAAGGAAGACAGGCACTGTAGAAACCTTAACAGAGGCCAGGATTAACTGTACCAAAGAGGAAAAGGTATACTTTGTACATCTTGATTGTATGATTTTACACAAGTATATATTTTCTGTGTTCTATGTTCAGTAAGTTTGATACAATGTAAGTAGTCTGCAATGTGGCAAATAAAATGGGTAGAATCTGCTTTGTTGGACCCCAGAAGTTGGGAAATGTACAATAAATGTGAATGACCAATAACTTTTAATTGCGTTGCTATGCAAGAACATAAACAGAGGTCTTTTTTTTTCACCGCTTCAAAAGACAATGATGCAAATGATGTTAAAAAAATGAATACAACACGTTATGAATTTCATGCGTCCGTCATGCTTTTCTAGATTTACCTTCATCAGGAACACTCAAAGTCGAAAATTTTTGAAAGCCAAGGATGTATAAGATCCGAAACAGTTGAAGAGCTATATGACCAAAAACGACCTAAAAAATAGTCAAATCCATCTAAAGTTTACTTTGCCTGAGGGAATTGAAACCTTAGTTTTTTTATAATTTCAAAATTCATTAAAGATCGTTTTTAACTCTTGGAACTGAAAAATATCAAATAAATTTACTGTACTTACCCATTTAAGCTTGAAAATCATCCAGACCAGAATTTAAAGTGTTTGTAATTTTGTATAGTACTCTGGGTTTTTTAAAAGCAGGACGAGATTCACTGTCACTGATAGTGATAAATTCCGTCATAATCAATGTCTGTTTTTGTTCCTCTGGATTGTATACTTTTTAATAAGGTTTATAAATGCAATAATTGGAATGTCAGAGTTGATTATATATTTTTTTTTGTACACAATATTGACTAAAATATGGATCATTAAGGGATTTTACCATTCCGTATTTTGGTAATGATTTTTTAAAGTCTTTTACAAAAGTCATTTAAGCCAGGTACTTTCAATGCTGTTTGTATGTGCTCCTGTTTCTTGGTCAACAAAATTTACAGAATGGTTAGCTTTTAAATGCTCAAATCCTTCTGAACCTAAACAATCAGTCGTTAGTTATCTTTTTTCCCGGTTTTAATATTATCTTTGATTAATTTAATAATATTTCTTTAGTCGGATTTTCCAGTAGCAAAAAACTTTTCTTGCTGTCTCTTTCAATACCGCCGAACACCCATTGCCCTTTTACCTGACACCCTTTGTGGTATTTTCTTTTTCCAAATTTACTTCCATCTATTTCCACTATAACACTATCACCTCCTATTTTTTCACTATCTTATTTCCAAAATTTTGATACAGACTTATTGCAATAATTGCACCAATCTACGATTGTTTAATTACAAATTGAAAGTTCATGCTTAAAAAAATTCTTGGTCTATTTCGTAAATCCAAATTTTTTTTATACATAATATATATTCACAAGTTAAATCGCATCCTTAAAACCCGGATCTGTTTCTGATAGAAACCTTTTTACTGCATTTTTTGTTGCTGCATATCCAATAAAAAATGTCATTTGAAAATAAACTGTCTTTCCTCAATCCAAAATGTCCATGACAACATTTTTTACATACCTCGCCCGATCAATGTAGAATTAATTCCAAAGAAATACACAACTGAATGTTTTCTCGGTACTCTCACAAATATTAAACAAATCTTTTTACTTGATTGGCATTTCCTTACATTGCTATGTTTGTAAACACAGCTGATTGTACATTACGGTTGAGAATGACGTTTCGTATTTATTGAATATTCATGATGTAGGGGTCACAGATAATGGTATACCTACCTGAGTAGCGGAAGAGTGGACAATTTGTACACTTACCAAGATGTCTTTCTGCTAGATTTTGTATTTCTAATTTAAAAAACTGTTTAAATAAACTTTACCTGGAGACTTTTTTATTTTTGGGCTATTTTCGTTTTTAACTTTTTGGCGCGACCAATCCTTATATACTTGTATTTACTATAGATTCCCTTACTTTTCATGGGGTCAGGTTAAATAGAAGTACTTCAATAAAACAAACCAAGTTTTAGAAACATCCTCTTTTTTAGTGGTCATTGATGGCATATGCATGTGTCATTTTGATTTTTTAAAAATCTCAAAACCTCTGTTAAGTTATAGTAAAACTGTATAGAATATTTCTGATGACAACTATATTTGAAGACCCTTGGTTCCCATTTTGTTTATAAATATGAATCTGGAACATATATGATATACCTATCAATAATAAATGTTAGAAGTAGGATTTCTCAGTAAATGTATGGTATGTTGTTGAAGAATCTTTGTTTTATTTACCTGCCCATACTTTAAATGTTGGAAACATTACATTAAATAATTTGTATAATTTCAGGACCTTTTTCTCTACTATTTCCTGCAGCAGTTTCCTGGTAGAACTTTAGTGTTTGCAAACAGTAAAGATTGTATTCGAAGACTGGTGTCGATTTTTACTCTGTTACAAACTTCACCACTGCCTTTACATGCTGACATGCACCAGAAACAAAGATTAAAAAATCTAGAGAAGTTCACAGGTAATTTACTCTTTTTGTTATCCAGTTTTTACAGAATAAACAATAAGCTTAAGATAATTTGGTTGAAAAAGATAGTAACCAACAGGTCACACAAATATATTTCCTCTAGTTGTATACCATAATACCATGTTGCTTTACTTCAACAATTATCCTGTCTTTGATCTGACCAGTTATTGCTTTTACTCCTAAATGCTTGGTTTAGGTCTGGTTGATTGGTAGGACATCAGCAAACACCTTTAAAAGCTATATGACATATTTGTTTGCTAATTAATTCATTTGACCTTTTTTCAGCGAATCCTAACAGTTTGTTATAAGCATTAGATGTAGTATTAAGAGTTGTCTCCACAAGAATTTGTTTTAGCTAGTCCTAACAGTTTGTTATTAGTATCAGATGTTGTATTTAGAGTTATCTCGTCTTGACTTTTTCTAAGTAATCCTTACAGTTTCTTATTAGTGTAGGATGTAGTAATTAGAGTTATCTCCACTTTTTTCAGCTAATCCTAACAGTTTGTTACGACATATAGCATCATATGTAGTTTTTAGAGTTATTTCCACTTGACTTTTTCCAAATAATCCTTACAGTTTCTTATTAGTGTCGGATGTAGTATTTATAGTTAAGTTTTTATTAGCCTCTGATGTAGTATCAAGAGTTATCTCCACTTTTTTCAGCTATTCCTATGAGCATCAGATGTAGTATTTAGAGTTATCTCCACTTGACTTTATTTCAGCTAATCCTAACAGTTTGTTATTAGCATCAGATGTAGTATTTAGAGTTATCTCCACTTGACTCTATTTCAGCTAATCCTAACAGTTTGTTATTAGCATCAGATGTAGTATTTAGAGTTATCTCCACTTGATTTTATTTCAGCTAATCCTAACAGTTTGTTATTAGCATCAGATGTAGTATTTAGAGTTATCTCCACTTGATTTTATTTCAGCTAATCCTAACAGTTTGTTATTAGCATCAGATGTAGTATTTAGAGTTATCTCCACTTGATTTTATTTCAGCTAATCCTAACAGTTTGTTATTAGCATCAGATGTAGCAGCTAGAGGATTAGATATACCAAATGTTCAACATGTTATACACTATCAAGTACCACTGACAGTTGAGGTGAGAATCTTATCAAAATCTAATATGTTATTATTTTTCTCTTAACCCTTTCCTCTTTGGATTATTTTTTATAGACTTATTTTGCATAAGATATTTTTATAGAATGTTAGAATTATAATTACTTTAATGAAATAGAAGCTGCAAAAAAAATTGTGACAATTAAAATTACTTAAATGAAATAGAAACTGCAAAAAAAAATATTGTGTCACCGATTAAAAAAATATCCTCACTTTTAAAATAATAATGCATGGCAAATACAATTTATTTCATTAGGGAAATTCATGTCAGATATTCCCAAGTATATACTTTTTGGATTGTATGCAAATTTGATGAACTCTGATACAGATTTTAGATGGCTGAGGTATAACAGAAGTGTCGTGGGTGAAAGGGCTACAGAATTAAAAATATTATATTCCCAAATAACTTGAAAATCTTATTATCCGAAGAAGACTAAACATGTGATCTGTATAGAGTGACTAGGTGCATGCATTATATTGTATTTAAAGCTGGTTTATTATTTTTATGTCAGAATTATGTACATAGAAGTGGTAGAACAGCTCGAGCCAGCAAGGAAGGAATTAGTGTTATGTTGATAGGACCAGATGATGTTAAAAACTACAGGAAAATTATACACACTCTTAATAGAAGTAAGTGTTTGATCATTTAAAGAAAATTATACACACTCTTAATATATAGGAGTAAGTGTCTGATCATTTAAAGAAAATTAGACACACTCTTAATAGAAGTAAGTGTTTGATCATTTAAAGAAAATTATACACACATTTAATAGAAGTAAGTGTTTGATCATTTAAAGAAAATTATACACACACTTAATAGAAGTAAGTGTTGGATCATTTAAAGAAAATTATACACACTCTTAATATATAGGAGTAAGTGTCTGATCATTTAAAGAAAATTATACACACTTAACAGCAGTAAGTGTCTGATCATTTAAAGAAAATTTACTGCCTCATTAAATTTCATAGTTTAGACAATAAGATCAAGTACTTTAATTTGAGAATACTTCTGAGATGCAGACAGTTTTTAAAACTGCATGCAATTTTCATTACTACTTAATTGCTTGAATAATGATTTTTTTTCTTCTGCAGGTGAAGACCTACCCATGATTCCAGTGGATCATCAAATGCTCCCTTCTTTGAAGCAAAGATTAAGTTTAGCATTAAAGATAGACGTCACTGATTATAGGTAAAGCATCAAAATGGGTATTTTTTTATGCCCCCGACGTAGCGGAGAGGGCATTAAGTTTTACCCTTGTCCGTTTGTATGTCCGTCCATCCGTACGTCCCAAAAGTGGTTTCCGTTCTCTAACTTTAGTTTGCCTCAACCAAATGTTATGAAGCTTATACACAATGCTTATTACCACAAAACTCAGATCAAGTACAAATTTGGGTAGCGTCACTTTTACAGTTCTTGAGTTATGTTAAGGTTATATGCAAGCTGGGGCTTCATCTGTGTCCCATGGACACATTCCCCATTTATTTTTAAAATTTCTATCCACAAGAGATTAATTCTTTGTCACAGAGTTAAAGTCTTTGTTTAATTGGTACTTGGATCTCATAGTTTCATCATTTGCTTTTATTATAGTAACTGTAAATTTATTTGTTTTTCAGTTAAGAATTGGTGCGTTTTGACACCCAAATAATGTTGAAAATTAAAAAAATTAGAAGCTCACAAATAATAATGAAAAATGAAATCTGTACAGAAAAAAAAAAAGATAGCAGTTTTTTGTCATATTATTCCCATGTTATTTTATCCTGTGTTGCCAACAGCTTAAGCAGGTATAGTAACCGCTTGACTCCATCTGTCATTCTGTCATTCCATCCATCTGTCCGAAAGACCTTGGGTAAAAAAATTCATTTAAAGTTTTCTTTGCTTCTATGAAATGGAATGATTTTATATTTGGTCTTGATAATGTTGAGTTGTAATAGGTTAGTAATTTTATCATATGCTGTGCAGCCACTCCCTATTTGCAGATATTTTACATCACTCATTGTACAATGAAACATTTCTTCAAACTTTTCTTGGCATTTTTGGAAGGGAATGATTTTATATTTGGTCTGCAGCTTGATCCTGTTGAGTTAATTGATATACATCTCAGGTTAGACTACATATCAATTTTTGTCCATGAAGATTCATGTCAGTTATTTTTTTACCATAACAAGAAGAATCATTACCCTTAATAAATGAGCATAAGAAAATAGTAAAAGTGATTATTTTTTTTAACACAAAAGATATTTCAATACATTAAATTTATGTAAATCAACATTTTTTTTCAGATTTGAAAAGAAGAAAAGACAGAATAATTGGTTTATAAAAGCAGCCAATGAAATGGACATTGAACTAGATGATCGACATTTGTATCCTCTTTTTCCGCGGAACCCTTACAATTTTTATACGACCGCAAAAATTGAAAAATTTTTGGTCGTATATTGGTATGACGTTGGCGTCGTCGTCGTCGTCGTCCGGCGTCGTCCGAAGACACATTGGTTTTCGCACTCTAACTTTAGTTTAAGTGAATGGATCTCCATGAAATTTTACCATAAGGTTCAATACCATGAAAGGAAGGTTGGGATTGATTTTGGGGGTTATGGTACCAACAGTTAAGGAATTAGGGGCCAAAAAGGGGCCAACAATAAGCATTTTTGTAACTTCCAGACAATAACTTGTGTGTAAGTGTATGGATCTCTCTGACATTGTACCACAAGGTTCCATATCACAAAGGGAAGGCTGTAATTGATTTTGGGGGTAATTGCCTCAAAATGTTAGGAATTAGGGGCCAAAAAAGGGGCAAAAAACAAGCATTTTTCTAGTTTCATGACAATAACTTGTGTGTAAGTGTTTGGATATTTCTGAAATTGTACTACAGGGTTCCATATCACAAAGGGAAAGCTGGAATTGAGTTTGGGGGTAATTGCCCGAAACGTTTAGGAATTGGGGGCCAAAAAGGGGCCAAAAATAAGCATTTTTCTAGTTTCCAGACAATAACTTGTGTTCAAGTGTATGGATCTCTCTGAAATTGTACTGCAAGGTACCATACCACAAAGGGAAGGCTGAGATTGAGTTTGGGGGTGATGAATCATAAGGGGGTTCAAAAAATTTTGGGGGGGGATTTTTTTTTTTCTTTTTTTCCTTTTTTTTTTCTTTTTTAAATTTTCCATTTTAAGTTGGTTATTTCTGATTTATATTTAAAAGCAAATAATAATGATATGGTAGGAGATACACACCAAACAGGATGTGTAAATTATTATATAATAAGTATTGTGCAATAGCAAGAAATTTTCAATTGCACAGTATTGCACAATAGCAAGAAATCTTCAATTGCACAGTATTGCGCAATAGCAAGAAATCTTCAATTGCACAGTATTGCGCAATAGCAAGAAATATCCAATAGCACAATATTGCGCAATAGCAAGAAATTGTCAATTGTACAGTATTGCGCAATAGCAAGAAATAATCAATTGCACAGTATTGTGCAAAAGAAGATACTTCGTATAAATTGCTTATTTCTTGATCAATTTCAATGGGGTTTTATTCTTGAATTCTTGGGGTTCTTTAATATGCTGAATCTAACCGTGTATTAAGTTTTTGGATTTTGGGCCCCGTTTTTAAATTGGTCCACATTGAGGTCCAAAGGGTCCAAAATTTTACTTTGTTTGATTTCATCAAAAATTGAATTATTGGGGTTCTTTGATATGCCGATTCTAACCGTGTATTTATATTCTTAATTTTTGGTTCTGTTTTCAAATTGGTCTACATAAAGGTCCAAAGGGTCCAAAATTAAACTTAGTTTGATTTCAACAAAAATTGAACATATGGGGTTCTTTAATATGCTGAATCTAACCATGTATTTAGATTTTTGATTATGGGCCCAGTTTTCGAGTTGGTCCAAATCGGGGTCCAAAATTAAACTTTGTTTGATTTCAACAAAAATTGAATATATGGGGTTCTTTGATATGCTGAATCTAACCATGTATTTAGATTTTTGATTGTTGGGCCCTGTTATCAACTTTGTCCACATTGAGATCAAAAGGGTCCAAAATTAAACTTTGTTTGATTTCATCAAAAATTGAATATATGGGGTTCTTTGATATGCTGAATCTAACCATGTATTTAGATTTTTGATTATGGGCCCAGTTTTCAAGTTGGTCCAAATCGGGGTCCAAAATTAAACTTTGTTTGATTTCAACAAAAATTGAATATATGGGGTTCTTTGATATGCTGAATCTAACCATGTATTTAGATTTTTGATTATGGGCCCAGTTTTCAAGTTGGTCCAAATCGGGGTCCAAAATTAAACTTTGTTTGATTTCAACAAAAATTGAATATATGGGGTTCTGTAATATGCTGAATCTAACCGTGTATTAAGTTTTTGGATTTTGGGCCCCGTTTTTAAATTGGTCCACATTGAAGTCCAAAGGGTCCAAAATTTAACTTTGTTTGATTTCATCAAAAATTGAATTATTGGGGTTCTTTGATATGCCGAATCTAACCGTGTATTTAGATTCTTAATTTTTGGTTCCGTTTTCAAATTGGTCTACATAAAGGTCCAAAGGGTCCAAAATTAAACTTAGTTTGATTTTAACAAAAATTGAATTTTTAGGGTTCTTTGATATGCTGAATCTAAACATGTATTTAGATTTTTGATTATGGGCCCAGTTTTCAAGTTGGTCCAAATCGGGGTCCAAAATTAAACTTTGTTTGATTTCAACAAAAATTGAATATATGGGGTTCTTTGATATGCTGAATCTAACCATGTATTTAGATTTTTGATTTTTGGGCCCTGTTATCATTTTTGTCCACATTGAGATCAAAAGGGTCCAAAATTAAACTTTGTTTGATTTCATCAAAAATTGAATTCTTGGGGTTCTTTGATATGCTGAATCTAACCATGTATTTAGATTTTGGATATTGGACCATAATAGGTGAATGTCCAATTTAAAATTTTTAAGTTCTTAGACCACATTCATTCTGTGTCAGAAACCTATGCTGTGTCAAATATTTAATCACAATCCAAATTCAGAGCTGTATCAAGCTTGAATGTTGTGTCCATACTTGCCCCAACTGTTCAGGGTTCGACCTCTGCGGTCGTATCAAGCTGCGCCCTGCGGAGCATTTTATTGAGTTATGTGATTTATTCATAAAAAAAATGGGCGATTTTCCAGTTTTCTGACTATAACTCAAAAATGCTTTGAACAATTTTCATGAAACTTTGGTTGCTTGTTTATATCTATTGAAAGAAGCTCCATTTGTTTGTTTTTTATAGATTTGTGATATGGCATTGCAGAGTTATGGGACTTTTCAATGAAAAATCGTCGATAACTGTCCATTTTTATAAGACCGTAAAAAAAATTTTGCGTTCGTATAATGCTATCATGTCGTTGTCCGAAGACACATTTGGTTTCCGGACAATAGCTTTAGTTTAAGTGAATGGATCTCTTTGAAATTTTACCAGAAGGTTCAATACCACAAAAGGAAGGTTGGGATTGATTTTGGGGGTTATGGTACCAACAGTTTAGGTATTAGGGTCCAAAAACAAGCATTTTTGTAGTTTCCGGACAATAACTTGTGTGTAAGTGTATGGATCTCTCTGAAATTGTACTACAAGGTTCCATACCACAAAGGGAAGGCTGGGATTGAGTTTGGGGGTAATTGCCCCAAACGTTCAGGAATTAGGGGCCAAAAAGGGGCCAAAAACAAGCATATTTCTAGTTTCCAGACAATAACTTGTGTTTAAGTGTATGGATCTCTCTAAAATTGTACTACAAGATTCCATACCACAAAGGGAAGGCTGGGATTGAGTTTGGGGGTAATTTCTCCAAGGGAGGGGGGTTCAAAAAGTTTGGGGGGGATTTTTTTTCCAATTTTTATACGACCGCAAAAATTGAAAATTTTTTGGTCGTATATTGGTATGACGTTGGCGTCGTCGTCGTCGTCGTCGTCGTCCGGCGTCGTCCGAACACACATTGGTTTTCGCACTCTAACTTTTGTTTAAGTGAATGGATATCCATGAAATTTTACCATAAGGTTCAATACCACGAAAGGAAGGTTGGGATTGATTTTGGGGGTTATGGTACCAACAGTTAAGGAATTAGGGGCCAAAAAGGGGCCAAAAATAAGCATTTTTGTAACTTCCAGACAATTACTTGTGTGTAAGTGTATGGATCTCTCTGACATTGTACCACAAGGTTCCATATCACAAAGGGAAGGCTGAAATTGATTTTGGGGGTAATTGCCTCAAAATTTTAGGAATTAGGGGCCAAAAAAGGGGCAAAAAACAAGCATTTTTCTAGTTTCATGACAATAACTTGTGTGTAAGTGTTTGGATATTTCTGAAATTGTACTACAAGGTTCCATATCACAAAGGGAAAGCTGGAATTGAGTTTGTGGGTAATTGCCCGAAACGTTTAGGAATAGGGGGCCCAAAAGGGGCCAAAAATAAGCATTTTTCTAGTTTCCAGACAATAACTTGTGTTCAAGTGTATGGATCTCTCTGAAATTGTACTGCAAGGTACCATACCACAAAGGGAAGGCTGGGATTGAGTTTGGGGGTGATGAATCATAAGGGGGTTCAAAAAATTTGGGGGGGGGGATTTTTTTTTTTTCTTTTTTTTTCTTTTTTTCCTTTTTTTTTTTCTTTTAAAATTTTCCATTTTAAGTTGGTTATTTCTGATTAATATTTAAAAGCAAATAATAATGATATGGTAGGAGATACACACCAAACAGGATGTGTAAATTATTATATAATAAGTATTGTGCAATAGCAAGAAATTTTCAATTGCACAGTATTGCACAATTGCAAGAAATCTTCAATTGCACAGTAGTGCGCAATAGCAAGAAATCTTCAATTGCACAGTATTGCGCAATAGCAAGAAATATCCAATAGCACAATATTGCGCAATAGCAAGAAATTGTCAATTGTACAGTATTGCACAATAGCAAGAAATATTCAATTGCACAGTATTGTGCAAAAGAAGATACTTCGTATAAATTGCTTATTTCTTGATCAATTTCAATGGGGTTTTATTCTTGAATTCTTGGGGTTCTTTAATATGCTGAATCTAACCAAGTATTAAGTTTTTGGATTTTGGGCCCCGTTTTTAAATTGGTCCACATTGAGGTCCAAAGGGTCCAAAATTTAACTTTGTTTGATTTCATCAAAAATTGAATTATTGGGGTTCTTTGATATGCCGAATCTAACCATGTATTTAGATTCTTAATTTTTGGTTCCGTTTTCAAATTGGTCTACATTAAGGTCAAAAGGGTCCAAAATTAAACTTAGTTTGATTTTAACAAAAATTGAATTTTTAGGGTTCTTTGATATGCTGAATCTAAACATGTATTTAGATTTTTGATTATGGGCCCAGTTTTCAAGTTGGTCCAAATCGGGGTCCAAAATTAAACTTTGTTTGATTTCAACAAAAATTGAATATATGGGGTTCTTTGATATGCTGAATCTAACCATGTATTTAGATTTTTGATTTTTGGGCCCCATTATCAACTTTGTCCACATTGAGGTCAAAAGGGTCCAAAATTAAACTTTGTTTGATTTCATCAAAAATTGAATTCTTGGGGTTCTTTGATATGCTGAATCTAACCATGTATTTAGATTTTTTATTTGTGGACCCCGCTATCAAATTGGTTAATATTGAGGTCAAAAGGGTCCAAAATTAAACTTTGTTTGATTTCATCAAAAATTGAATTATTGGGGTTCTTTGATATGCCAAATCTAACCGTGTATTTAGATTTTTAATTTTGGGTCCCGTTTTTAAATTGGTCTACATTGAGGTCAAAAGGGTCCAAAATTAAACTTAGTTTGATTTTAACAAAAATTGAATTCTTGGGGTTCTTTGATATGCTGAATCTAAACATGTGTTTAGATTTTTGATTATGGGCCCAGTTTTCAAGTTGGTCCAAGTTGGGGTCCAAAATTAAACTTTGTTTGATTTCAACAAAAATTGAATATATGGGGTTCTTTGATATGCTGAATCTAAACATGTATTTAGATTTTAGATTTTTGGCCCAGTTTTCAAGTTGGTCCAAGTTGGGGTCCAAAATTAAACTTTGTTTGATTTCAACAAAAATTGAATATATGGGGTTCTTTGATATGCTGAATCTAAACATGTATTTAGATTTTAGATTTTTGGCCCAGTTTTCAAGTTGGTCCAAATCGGGGTCCAAAATTAAACTTTGTTTGATTTCAACAAAAATTGAATATATGGGGTTCTTTGATATGCTGAATCTTACCATGTATTTAGATTTTTTATTTTGTGGGCCCGCTATCAAATTGGTTCATATTGAGGTCAAAAGGGTCCAAAATTAAACTTTGTTTGATTTCATCAAAAATTGAATTATTGGGGTTCTTTGATATGCCAAATCTAACCGTGTTTTTAGATTTTTAATTTTGGGTCCCGTTTTTTAAATTGGTCTACATTAAGGTCCAAAGGGTCCAAAATTAAACTTAGTTTGATTTTAACAAAAATTGAATTCTTGGGGTACTTTGATATGCTGAATCTGAACATGTGTTTAGATTTTTGATTATGGGACCAGTTTTCAAGTTTGTCCAAGTTGGGGTCCAAAATTAAACTTTGTTTGATTTCAACAAAAATTGAATATATGGGGTTCTTTGATATGCTGAATCTAACCATGTATTTTGATTTTGGGCATTGGACCATAATAGGTAAATTAAAAAAATTGAAGTTCTTAGACCACATTCTTTCTGTGTCAGAAACCTATGCTGTGTCAAATATTTAATCACAATCCAAATTCAGAGCTGTATTAAGCTTGAATTTTGTGTCCATACTTGCCCCAACTGTTCAGGGTTCGACCTCTGCGGTCGTATCAAGCTGCGCCCAGCGAAGCATTTTATTTTTTTTAGGTTTATATTTTTTCTTAAATTTTTTGAAAAGCTTCAAGAAGAAATCTTCAATTGCACAGTATTGCGCAACAGCACAGTGTTGTGCAATAGAACAGTATTGCACAATAGCAAGAAATCTTCAATTACGCAACAGCACAGTATTGCGCAATAGAACAGTATTGGGCAATAGCAAGAAATCTTCAGAAAAATTTTTGATGTTTTTTTATATGCTGAATCTAACCATGTTGTTAGATTTTGGATATCAGACCATTCTAGGTAAATTAAATGTCCCATTTCAAATTTTTAAGATCTTGGACCACAGAAACCTAATTTATGTCAAAAATTTGATCACAATCCAAGTTCAGACAGTATCAAGCTGGAATATTGTGTCCAAACTTGCCCCAACTGTTCAGGGTTCGACCTCTGCAGTCGTATCAGGCTGCGCTCAGCGAAGCATTTTATTAACACTTTGGACGGTTATAAAATTTTATTTGTTCAAAAATTGAGGTCACAAACTAATTCTAACTTGAGGTAGCTTTAATATGGCAAATTATTCAAGTTTCATGTCAATGGATACCACTGAGTGTGCATGTATTTTTGTTTTTTTTTTTTTTGGGGGGGGGGGAGGGGGGTGTTCTATTTGAGCAGTGCTCACAGTATTTCTAGTTGATCATATCAATTCATTTAAAGCATAATGATGAGCTAAAAGGGCGACAGGTATATTATGCGCTCATGGCGCAGCTTTTTATTAACGCATGGTCAAGCTTAATTTTTAAGAATGAAGTCCGCTGGCAAATGATCTTACAAAATTATTTAAACACAAATTAACAATTCCTAATAGAATTATCATATCATATTTGAATACTTACTGACACTTCTTTTTATAAGCTGTCCAAGGGGGTTGGGAGGTATATACTGTAAAAGCAGAAATTTTCGTGGAGGATTTAATTTCGTTTATTTCGTGGAAAGAATATATCCACGAAATTAAAACCCCCAGGAAAATTTAACCTACATATAATATCACTTCCATTAAATGGAAACCACGAAATTAAATCCCCATGAAATTTTATATGGAGACAAAACCACGAAGTTTTAACCCCACGAAAATTAATGTTTCTACAGTAGTAATGTAGATGTCTGTCTGTTAATTAATATAATAGAGAACTGCTTGACCAAATTTTTTGAAATTTTAAAATTACAATGGAACATTGTTGACAATTAACTACGGATAGAGTTTTGGATGACAAATTCTAGGTCAATAGATATAAGAAGATGTGGTATGAGTGCCAATGAGACAACTCTCCATCCTAGTCACAATTTGTAAAAGTAAACCATTATAGGTCAAAGTACGGCGTTCAACACGAAGCCCTGGCTCACACCGAACAGCAAGTTTGTTTTTAACATTTTTTTCTTTATATGCTGTTATTGACTTGCTTATGTTTTATTGATAAAAATGTAATTATCTGTTTATACCTTAACCACTCATAACAGATTGAATGATATAGGGGACAGTCAACAGCAATCTCAACATAAACATCATATGAAACAACTGAAACAGGAATTAAATTCTCTGCTGCATTCGACATTGACCTCAAAGACGTTTTCTGGCAAATACCCAACAAAAACTGGGAAGCTATTGTTGCCTGAGGAGACAAGTAAGTATATGTAATTCTGTTTATCATTACATCGGATTTAAGAAAGACGGGTACATTTTTCACATTGGAGTTAATTAAGTGATACTCAAGCATTTAAGAACTTTAGTCAAAGACCAAGCTGCTATCAAACATGGATGCCAGTATTAATTTAACAAACACTAAAAAAGAATGTCATCAAATCTTACTTAGGAATTGCTGTCAGACTTTGGTAAAGACCAATCCAACATAAATGAATACACAGTACAGGGCCGTAACTACCGATGAGGCAGAAGAGGCAATTGCCTCGTCTGATTTTCTGGCAAAAAAAAATAATCATAAGAGAAAAAAAAGAAAATGGAGAAAGCTAGTCATGCACGCGTTGAAAACATCCTTGCATTTTCATAACAAGAATTAAGTGATGCATACTTCAAATAGTAATTAATGTTGATGTGCAGCTTCTGTACTTTCGATTCAACTGCGTAAGGTATCGAACTCTCTGTTTGATTACCATCTTGAACAAGTTCGACCATCAGAGATTTTGGTTTCCCAGGAGAAGCTACTACATGTATTGACATTGCTGGTTGGTTCTTGTTCATGTGAGAGATCTTTTTCTGCCATTTGATGTTTGAAGACATGGTGCTGGTCAACAATGACCAAGGACAGATTATGTGGTTTAGCTATGCTTCACATCCATCGTATGGACAATGTCGGGTAAGTGAACGCAGAAGCTGTTCTCAAATGATGGGATCTTAGTGGCACAAGAAAGGTCGAACTAGCATTCACATACAGTGACTATCATGACTATAGGTTCCACTCTTTGGGCTTTATTAAAGTGTTATTAAAATGTGTGTTATCTTTATGAAACGTTGACCACACACACCTGTCCTGCTTTTTCTACTATCAAACTTGTATCCTACTGTAAATGGATACATGTTCGATGGTACAAAATTCGAGGCAAGTATCTGTCAGTCGTCTCCGATAGCCTAATGCAGTTCTTCATACGGTAAATATGAAACAAAAACAGATGTAACAAGTTTTATTTCGGCCTCTAATATTACAATTTTCGGCCGGGGGCTTTGCCCCCCCCCCCTCCGGACCCCCTATTAACCTGATTGCCTCAGTCAGCGGCCCCCAAACGCCTGCCTCGTCTGTTTCCGATGACTAGTTACGGCCTTGCAGTACTATACATTTTAATTCTGAAACCAGACTGATATGGCAATATATAAAACTACTATATTCCTGTTTTATAGTTAACAAATATCAGCAACAGCCTTGTCACCATAACTTTCATTTGATGATTATTTTACTAGTACTTAAAATCTTATGACTGAAATTTCAATACTTTATAAATTATCAGTTGTAAATATTATATTGTGTTTATTTTACAGAAAAAGGAAGTGATGCTATTTCGTCTGTGAAAAAAGATAAGAAATCACAAGAGAAGCTAATACAACAGATACAGAAGGAAAGGATATTAATGTCAAAGGCAATGGACAATAAAAAGAAAGAAAAACAATCTAAAAGACAAAAAAAGAAAAATAAAAGAAAAAATAAAGAAGTTTAAACAAATTTTTTATATGAATATTATTTCTCGCATAGTTTGCATTTTAAAGTTGTCTCATTACTGCTGCAGCCAAGATGAGCATGTATTATCATGTTAATGCTCACTCCTAATTTTAGAGTTTATATGAAAATAAGGATTTGTGGTATGATTGCTCATGAGACAACTATCCACCAGAGATCAAATGACGAAGATATAAGCAACTTGTAAAAATAAAGTTCCTTTTCTAAAATTAAAGGTGATTCAATCATTGTTTGTCTACATGTTTGCATTGATGAAGGAGCAGAGAAAGACTTAGAGAACTTACAAAGGATTCTTAAATTGTTAATACTGATACATATTTTAAGGGCACACACTTGTCTAAAATTTGTGGTTTTCTCTATTAAAAAGAAACCATAATAATTACTTATGAAGAGGCAATAGACTGGACTTTTGACAGTAGTATTGACTTCAACATTAGTAATACCTGTATCTTAGGGATCATCATTGTTTAGGCAGGTCCTGATAATGCCCTTTTCATGATTTTATAAGTAACTATCATGTTATTCATGATTCCAAGGGTTAGAGTTCCAACAAATAAGTCTTTGAAGTACACAACTCAAACTATAATTGTAATAATACTAATATGAACAATTCAGTTGAGGTACTCAATTCACTTCAAAATAAATAAATGAACAAATTTTTATTACTTAATTTTACAAAACAAATTTAAAGGTATATAAAGTAGGAATATAAAAATTGTTGAATAAGGATGTAACTCAGTATTGATCTGTAACGTCTCATATTATATTTGATACAAAAAACAAAAAACAGGTCAGCATCTCTATCCATTACAAATAAATAAAATAATAAATTTTACTTATAGACAAAGAGAAAACATTTAGTCCACACAACTAAACAGTTCGGAAATAGAAATGACTCTTATTCCAAAATCATATTAAATCAATCATATGGTTTAGGTTTACACAAGATATCATCATAGATTATCTTATGTCCTACTGGACCAATCATACTGCATCTTGAGGTCACAGTATATATATGCTTGTGTGACATCAAGCAAGGTCAAGATTGATCTATAATAGCACATAAAAGGATAATAGCATATACATAGTACCAGAACTATTGGACCGTGCAACAGACAACACCAATCACAAACACTGACTACCCTAAGAAGAAAGATTTTAAAACAAGGACAAACAACATCAAGCAATGCACATTCCATCCAGATGGGCCACTCAACTTGGTACAGGTGCAAAATGTGATGGGGTTGAACCTGTTTTACATGTACACAAACTTCCCCTTTTGCCTATCTAGTCCATATTATGTAATAGTAAAACACATGATAAAAAACATACACAGTCTAGCTACCAACAGGATGATCACTACCGGTAATTAGAAGAAAAAAATAAACTAGAATTGCTAATGCAAGCAATATTGGATGTCACCCTTCTCCCATTGCCACTAAGCAGCAGCCAATTTGAAAATTTTAAACAGTGAATGCTCATATATGCATGGCAATACATCTTTCTGTAAATTTTCAGAACATTTTGGGCATTATGAAATTTTACACATTTTTGCTGTTTCCATGGTAACAGTAACCATTTCTAAAATTCTGAAGACACCTGCCAAACTGGCACATGACAGGGAGCATACCATTAAAGTTTCACTGGGTTTGACCTACTAGGTTAAGCAAGTAAATGTAACTTTAAGGTTTTTCCCATAGGGATTAATGCTAAAACATATCCAGTTTCCATGACAATATAGAAGTTCCAAAGATTCTCAAAATCATCCAAATCCTGAATATAGTGGACACCAACATTGTATAAAGATTGGATGATTTTTAGTTCAGGCATACTCAAATTATTGACCAAAAACAAAACTTTTTTTTCTTACCTATGTTCCGTTTCCATTGTAACAGTGGTCATTTTAAAAGTTCCAAAGTCTAACTGCACATCTACATATGGTGCTCCTCATTATGCTGATGTTTCATCAACATTGGTCCAATAATAATAAAACAAAGAAACGGAGGAAAAGCAATATGTCACCCGACATTGTCGATCAGGTGACATAATTATGGCACTTAATTTGGAAGGCATGGTCGAAATTTGCTTACTACTGCATGGAGCTAGTTAAGGTGTAAGGGATCTGTAGGAAAAGATTAAAACCATTCTCTTAGTAAAATACTTAAATTAATTAGAAACAAAATAACTCAAAAACAAAACTACAGAACATATTCTTAGTTACAATCAAATGAAGTAGAGGTTAACTATGGTTTGTAAGATCATAATGCAATGATGAGTAACAGCAAAGGGTAAACAATTGAGTCAACATCAGAATATATAGTTAGGAAACTATAGCAATGTATCGTGTACTCACAATAACCATTTGTTGTTAATGAAAAAGTATTTCGTATCATCCTATTTGAAATGTTTTAAAGTAAACTACACTCAAAAGTTTTACATTTCATTAATTTCTATAATTCAAATTCAGGATATTCTTAAATATTTTTTGAGGTCCACAATTATTTTAGGACCTCCACAAGAGGATTTCAGGATATCCTTAAATCGAATTGTGGAGGCCCTGAATTATAGTGGACCTCTAAATATTTAAGGATATCCTGAAATCGAATTATAGAGGTCCTCAAAAATATTTCTGGAGCTCATCAAATACAATAATTTTGACTAAATCTACACCTCATAATATATACCGTGTTCGGTTGCAGGGGCTGATCCAGCCATTTTTAAAAGGGGGTTCCCAACCCAGGATAAAGGAGAGGGGGGTTCCAACTATATGTCCCCATTCAAATGCATTGATCGTCAAGAAAAAGGGTGGTTCCAAACCCCCGGAACCCCCCTCTGGATCTGCCACTGGGTTGTCAAATGTATGCAATATCTGCTTTGATTCTTTCTTACAATTGAAAAAGGAAGAAATATCTGCTATGATTCTTTCACCATTGAAAAAGGAAGAAATAATCATAAGCCAAATTTAAACTCTTTAAGATGAATTCAGCAGGCAAATTAATTCATAACCTATATAACACTAGGCTATCAAGCTATGCAACATATGTGAGGTGGTTGAATACATATAAAATAATACATATAGATATTGGATAATTGCACCAATTACACAGAAATCATTCCATTCATCAAATATAGTAGATCTATTGCTAATAGTATCCAAGAAACAGACCAAACCATGAAAACTTGAACAAAGACCAATGAACCATGAACATGAGCTCAGAGGCCATGGTCAGATGATACATGCCAAACAGACATGTACGCCTTACAATAATACCCTGCAAAAAAACAGTTGACCTATTGATTAAGGGGCTACAGGGAGTATCTAAGGAACAGACTACCAGGGAGACCAGAGTTGGATTTAGAGGGTTTTTCAGGGGGCCCGGGCCCCCCTTTTGTGGGAAAAATTTTGTTGATTATATAGGGAATCACTGAAGCATGACTGGAGCGGGCCCCCTCTTAGGCAGTCAGTGGGCCCCCCTTATGAAAATTTCTGGATCCGCCACTGGAGACTATATTGACCAATGAAGTTAAGGTCAAATGAATCCTGGCAGACAGACATGTACACCTTATGATCATTTCAAACACTAAATATAGTTGTCCTATTGCTAATAGTATCTGAGAAGAGGACCAAACAATGAGGATTTGGATGGGGTTTACAGAATAGAAAATAATGGGCAAAAAATATAAAGAATAGTGAAAAATGGACCAAAATAATAAAGAATAGAGAATAATGAGGTGCTAAAATATAAAGAAAAGAGAATAATGGGTTAAAAGTATAAAGAATAGATTAAAATAGCCTAAAAAAAAATAAGAAAAAGGAAATGAAGGACCCCATCCAGAACATCAACTATGGAAATTTAACATCAGTGGCGTAGCACCAGTGTAGCATTGTAAGCATGTGCTTTAAATACAATTAATTTAATAAAACATTTTTTTTTTAATAAAAATTTTACTATAATAGGCCCTTCAATGGGGGTGTCCAAGTAATCACATAATCACAATTTTTTTGCCAATATAATCACATAATCATTAATTATTTTTTTAAACAAGATATTAAATCAAATAATCAAAAATACAGTCCTAGATTATCAAATAATTAAATAATCATGAAATATTTGGTCTGGTAATCAAATAATCACTAAATGGCCAAGTAATCACATAATCAAAAACCCCATGAGGAGGCTCTATAGGGAAAAAAGTAGTATTACATTTTCCCGGCTTTAGGTTCGCCTTTTGTGTACCCAAGGCAGGTGAAGAAAGTCAACTTAGGAGCGCTGTGATTGGATGTAAGGGTACAATATATTTTTATGCCCCCGCCGTAGCGGTGGGTGCATTAAGTTTTACCCTTGTCCGTCTGTACGTACGTACGTCCCAAAATTGGTTTCCGTTCTCTTACTTGAGTTTGCCCCAACCAAATGTTATGAAACTTATACACAATGCTTATTACCTCAAAACACAGATCAAGTTTGAATTTGGGTGGCGTCACTTTAACAGTTCTAGAGTTATGCCCCTTTATAAATGGAAAAATTGCAAAATATTTAGTTTCCGTTCTCTAACTTAAGTTTGCCTCAACCAAATGTTATGAAACTTATACAAAATGCTTATTACCACAAAACACAGATCAAGTTTGAATTTTGGTGGTGTCACTTTAACCGTTCTAGAGTTATGCCTCTTTATAAATGGAAAAATTGCAAAATTTTTTTTTTCTTCTAAATATCAAGTAATTTTTAAAATTGGAGTTATCTTCCTTTGTCCATGATTATAGTTGAATCAACTTATTGAGTTATGCCCCTTTATAAATTGAAAGATTGCAAAATTTTTAGTTTCCATTCTGTAACTTAAGTTTGCCCCAAGCAAACATTATGAAACCTATACACAATATTCATTACCACAAAACTAAGATCAAGTACAATTTTTTGTTTCCGTTTTCTAACTTTAGTTTGCCTTAACCAAATGTTATGAAACTTATACACAATCCTTATTACTAC